ATGGTTAAAAAACAAATAAAAATTAATCTCAACAATCTCATCGCAATAAAATAAAACCAGGCTCTTATTGTAAATATGATTAAAGGCCTTAATTTCTTGTTTCTGTTTGAACCTTAACCTTCAGAAAAACCCTAGTTCTTATAAACTGACCAATGCCCCACTATTATTACTAGAAAAATAAAGAAAGGAATGACTTCTCTGTGTGGATGGACATACCAATTGTAGCCTCTTGGTCTCTTTCTCACCCCACCCACCTGGATAACCTCTCCATTATTTTTGTTTTGTGAGATTTGCCTGACTTCGTTTACAAATTATGTAACCTTGGACAAGTCATCTAACTCCCACCCCATCTCCTGGGTCTGTTGTTTATAAAATGAAGACCCTGGAGAGGCAATTCTGAAAGGAACTTCCAGCATTAAAATGCAATGATTTCATTATTTCAGTTTGAAGAGTAACGTACCAGTTCCTAATTAAAAGGTGATACTGGATAATATAATAAATGTCTGCAGTGCAAACCGAAAGAGTTCCCCTAACCTAGAGCCAAAATGGGAATACGGAATACCCACACGTGCGAGTGGGTGGAGAGATGGATAGAGAGGCAAGAAAATAATCTGTTGCCACTATGACCGAATAAAAATCACTGCTGTCTTTGAGGGTCCCAGTCTTCTGCCCATCCCAGGGATTAGAAAGGATTCTGCCTGTTCTGACTGTCCCTGGGAGACATTCAGGGGCATTCCAGGGAAGAGATGCCTGCACAGTCATAGGAGAGAAAAGGGGTATTCTAAGAAGTATGTCTGGGGACAATGGGTTCCCTCTTTCCTAGTGGAGAGCTATAAAGAAAACAGCATCCGTTACCTGAAGTTACTTTGACTTCCTGGGCTTTTATGAGGCCACTCCAGGACTGAACCCATAAGCCACCTCATCATAAATTGAAATTTCTAATTATAATCCTTCATATTCTGAAGATGAGGGGCACTGATGATGCTTTCTTGGCCAATGTTACTCCAGTCTGAGGAAATGCCACTGTTAGGGCCCAATGTCCATCTGAAGATCATACTTTCCTCTCTCTCCACTTTCCAATCTGTCAAGTTCCAAAGTCTTTTTTATCTACTGTGGTCAGTCTGCAAACCTGAGGACCAGGCTGGACGCCCCGGTGCTCCCACTCAGGGAGCCGTGTCTTCATCCCACACAAGGACTTGGATGCCACTGCTGTACAAAGCCCAGTTCTCCAGCTGGCTTCTCCCACTAGCCTGGGTGGGGGCTGGCTCTTATCTCGTGACCTGGTAGAGGGCCTGGGGCAGATCGCAAGGCCAGGGCCCAGATGGACAAACAAACAAGAGACACAGCCATGGGAGGAACAATGGATACGGAAGCCCCCTCTCACCCAGAGGGCAGTATCCTGCCTTTCAGCCTGCTTATTGCCAATGGGAATGTGGGCCCAATGGTGCCAAAACTTCTCATTCTTACCTTCAAGAACTCAGAAATCTTGGTCTTCATAGAAACTCTCCTAATCTTTAGATTTGGCAAGTAATTCTCATTTTATTTCCAAGTCCATATGGCCCAAAGCCAAGGCATGGTAGGTTGCAGACTGGATGGGGCATTTGATAAATGTAGGGGGATAGATGCCCCCTACTCCTTCCTATCCCTGATCATAGCATTGTCAAGGCATGCTGTAAGCCTCGGTCACATACTGAAGAGCTTGTGATTCCGTTCATTCCCACATCATCACTATTTGTATCAGTTTTCGAGGATACACCTGCAGGTATTTGACACAGCCCTCTATTTCCCAATTCTTCTCTCCTCTACACTGATGTAAAGATGAACAAAATGTTTAGAACTATATAATTTTTTGGGAACTATATAATTACATTTTGAATTCCTTGGAAATATTTTTTTTTTCCTCACTCAATTACCAATAACAGGCTTTTGATTAAAAAAAAATATCAAAATATCGAAAGCACTGCCGGAAAGGTATTTTGGGTGGCATGAGAGCCCAAGGTCTTTTAGAATAAGTGTTCTGTTTTCCTTTCAGAAAATAACTCCATATAAATAAATAAACCATTATTCCTGGACTTAAAAAAAAAAAAAA